TCATTACGGGGGAGATCACTAAAACGCTGAAGCCGCTCTAAGTTCACTTTAAGGAGGAAGTTCAGCTCGATGTTTACTTCAAAACAAAGAGAATATAAGTTTAGTTCGCTTGCTAGATTAGAAAAAAATTTTATTCGCACGAAGATCAGATTCTTACTAGCTTTCGAGGCAAAAATGTCGGTCACCTTAGCCTGGTAGAAAAAAATATTGTGAGTCCTAGTATGGAATCTTCTTTGGGACTTCAACCAAACCGTTAAAATGTACTTTCCTCGCCTTTGAGAGGTAGTACATTTGGTCTTGGCTTTTCTTCAACCTATACAAGTGGACGAGCTCTTCTACGGATAGCTCGCCCAAGTCAGCTATCATAGTAGCTTACCCTACTATGATTATGTATGAGTTTCTCGTCAATTGAAGAGGAGCAATGCCAAAACTGTTTAGAATGTTGGCAATGAAAAAATGAGGGGGAATGGACATCCCACACCTCAAGAGGGTATTTGGAATCACCGCCCAACTTGCAAGGGGATTTTTTCGGGAGAAATCTCCCGGAGCCCTCAAGGGAAGTTGAGTCCATAAACGTTTGTTATGCGCTAAATATCCTCGGCCCCAATCAAGGAACTTGGTTCCTTCCGGGGCCTATGAATTAGAGACTTCCTTGGTGGAAAAGGCTCCGCAGAAGCATGGTAGGAGGAGCCCGCAACATCAGGGTTCGAGCTCCTTACGACGAGGTCCTCTAAAACCTCCAGGACAACTTCCCCGTGAACAACCAATGGCGTCGAGGAATCAAACATCTGATCTATGCTATGGTTGCTAGACGAAGACATGGTGGAAGCTCGCCTATGGATACCTGAAACAGAAGCGACCAGGTGTTAGAGCTCGAAAATTCGGCGACCTATCCACACTTTGTTTTCAGTTCAAGCACCCAAGATAGCTTACATCGATCAATAGATACAAGCGAGCTACCAATATTCTAGTAGCCACCTCTTAAACCCTTGAAAAACACAAAACCTGTGGGTATACTCAAAAAACCCTAAAAAAAGCTAATGTGGCCATGAAAATGGCCACCCTCAACAACAAAGAATGTTTAAAATGAGTAAGAGAGAAGAAAAGAACCGTATTGGAGTTAAAAAGTGGTGGAAGTTCGTCGAAGACAGTTGTAGTCGCCCACGTGCTATGAAAAGTAATTGAAAAAGCTGGTTGCATTTAATGAGACACAATCGTGTGAAAATTACTCACATTCCCCTAGTATCAAATTCCAAGTCCATCGCAAATAACACTGCAGAAAAATGGCTAAGTCTTGATCACGTCGACTAAAATTAAGACCTACTCATGAAGCTCGGCCAAATATGCATTCAATATATGACTTGTGAAGATCGAGCTTAATATCAAATCAAGCAATTACTCTTCGAAGCTCAAAACAAGCATCGAACAATAGGGGGCAGATATTGTGTGTGATTTTTCCATTAAGCTCGGAGAAGTTAGAATTAGAATTCTGCGAGGTTATAGTTCGACTCATAATCAGTTGGCTCAACACTTATCTGACCCAGCATAAGCTTGTTGAGAAATAGCTCGACCCAGCATAAGCTAGTCGCAACCAATCATGACAGTTGTTCAAATAGATCACAGATAAGCTCAAATCCTGGATATTTCGGAAAGGATCAGATCAATAGCAATAATGGCGCGATCTTAGCGTTCAATCGCAAGAATATCGGAGTTATATTCGATCTTAATTGTAATTACTTTAATTTCGCTATTTTCTTTATAAGAAACTTGTATATAAACTCCCTCCAACGATCGAGAAGGGGTTAACAAATTATTCTATGAGTTATATTATTTTCTTGTAAGCTCTCAAATCAAATAATAAAGACAATGGATGTAGGCTCAAGATCCAAACTTGCCGAACCACTTTAAAAACTTTTGTGTCATTTACATTATTGCATTTATATTCATTATATTGCTGTTTATTCGTAATCATGCCCACATCGGTTCTGATTCCATCAAGGTCAATCAGATCGCTCTAATTGGTGAAATTCTTGCATCAACCATTTAAAACAAAAAATAAATTTATTTAAAAAAAATAAATTATTTTGATTATTTGATTAAGTGTAATTGTGTAAGTGTTATTTACTATGTTGGAACAATTCCATATGTAACTTAATTTTGTAATGAAGTATATTATGTAACTTTAGATTTAAATATTAAGATAAATCATGATAAAAATACCCCAAACCAAATATAATACAAGACTAACCACCACCACTAGGTGGCCTAATGATAGAAAAACAAATAATGATCTAACATGGTCTTCCAAGTTCGAGTCCTCTTAATGGTAAAAAAGCAAATGAAGGATCTAACATGATCTCCTGAGTTCGAGTCTCCACGACCCTTAATAGGGGTGACCACTAGAGCTTTTACCTGACTGGTAGTTCACTAGAGTTCTTACCCGGCTAGTAGTTTCAACCTTCCAAAGTCCGAGAGATTAGTTGAGGTGCGTACAAACTAACTCGAACATTCTTGGTCATATANTTCAACCTATACAAGTGGACGAGCTCTTCTACGGATAGCTCGCCCAAGTCAGCTATCATAGTAGCTCGCCCTACTATGATTATGTATGAGTTTCCCGTCAATTGAAGAGGAGCAATGCCAAAACTGTTTAGAATGTTGGCAATGAAAAAATGAGGGGGAATGGACATCCCACACCTCAAGAGGGTATTTGGAATCACCGCCCAACTTGCAAGGGGATTTTTTCGGGAGAAATCTCCCGGAGCCCTCAAGGGAAGTTGAGTCCATAAACGTTTGTTATGCGTTCAATATCCTTGGCCCCAATCAAAGAACTTGGTTACTTCCACAGCCTATGAATTAGAGACATCCTCGGTGGAAGAGTCTCCGCAGAAGCATGGTCGGAGGAGCCTGCAACATTGGGCTTAGAGCTCCTTACGACGAGGTCCTCTGGGATAACTTCCCCGTGAACAGCCAATGGCGTCGAGGAATCAAACATCTGATCTATGCTATGGTTGCTAGACGAAGACATGGTGGAAGCTCGCCTATGGATACCTGAAACAGAAGCGACCAGGTGTTAGAGCTCGAAAATTCGGCGACCTATCCACACTTTGTTTTCAGTTCAAGCACCCAAGATAGCTTACATCGATCAAAAGATACAAGCGAGCTACCAATATTCTAGTAGCCACCTCTTAAACCCTTGAAAAACACAAAACCTGTGGGTATACTCAAAAAACCCTAAAAAAAGCTAATGTGGCCATGAAAATGGCCACCCTCAACAACAAAGAATGTTTAAAATGAGTAAGAGAGAAGAAAAGAACCGTATTGGAGTTAAAAAGTGGTGGAAGTTCGTCGAAGACAGTTGTAGTCGCCCACGTGCTATGAAAAGTAATTGAAAAAGCTGGTTGCATTTAATGAGACACAATCGTGTGAAAATTACTCACATTCCCCTAGTATCAAATTCCAAGTCCATCGCAAATAACACTGCAGAAAAATGGCTAAGTCTTGATCACGTCGACTAAAATTAAGACCTACTCATGAAGCTCGGCCAAATATGCATTCAATATATGACTTGTGAAGATCGAGCTTAATATCAAATCAAGCAATTACTCTTCGAAGCTCAAAACAAGCATCGAACAATAGGGGGCAGATATTGTGTGTGATTTTTCCATTAAGCTCGGAGAAGTTAGAATTAGAATTCTGCGAGGTTATAGTTCGACTCATAATCAGTTGGCTCAACACTTATCTGACCCAGCATAAGCTTGTTGAGAAATAGCTCGACCCAGCATAAGCTAGTCGCAACCAATCATGACAGTTGTTCAAATAGATCACAGATAAGCTCAAATCCTGGATATTTCGGAAAGGATCAGATCAATAGCAATAATGGCGCGATCTTAGCGTTCAATCGCAAGAATATCGGAGTTATATTCGATCTTAATTGTAATTACTTTAATTTCGCTATTTTCTTTATAAGAAACTTGTATATAAACTCCCTCCAACGATCGAGAAGGGGTTAACAAATTATTCTATGAGTTATATTATTTTCTTGTAAGCTCTCAAATCAAATAATAAAGACAATGGATGTAGGCTCAAGATCCAAACTTGCCGAACCACTTTAAAAACTTTTGTGTCATTTACATTATTGCATTTATATTCATTATATTGCTGTTTATTCGTAATCATGCCCACATCGGTTCTGATTCCATCAAGGTCAATCAGATCGCTCTAATTGGTGAAATTCTTGCATCAACCATTTAAAACAAAAAATAAATTTATTTAAAAAAAATAAATTATTTTGATTATTTGATTAAGTGTAATTGTGTAAGTGTTCTTTACTATGTTGGAACAATTCCATATGTAACTTAATTTTGTAATGGAGTATAATATGTAACTTTAGATTTAAATATTAAGATAAATCACTATAAAAATACCACAAACCAAATATAATACAAGGCTAACCACCACTAGGTGACTTGATGATAGAAAAGCAAAAAATGATCTAACATAGTCTTTCAAGTTCGAGTCTCTTTAATGGTAAAAAAGCAAGCGAATGATCTAACATGATTTCCTGAGTTCGAGTCCTCACGGCCTCTAATGGGGGTGGCCACTAGAACTTTTACCTGACCAGTAGTTCACTAGAGTTCTTACCCGGCTAGTAGTTCCAACCTTCCAAAGTCTCAGAAGATTAGTTGAGATGCGCATAAACTAGCTCGAACACTCTCGATCATATATATATAAGAAAAGTTTTGATAACAAATGATTAAAAATCCCTATTAAAATCTTCAAAAACCCTCATAGAGGGAATCTACGGTAATCATCCTAATTATTTGAGAAAAAGGTATACTCGGAAAGTTGAGGGGGTGTATTTAAGAATCAAGAGTGCAGTTTTTCAGGCCCAACCATAACCAAGAGGAGCTCAACAGATTATTCCCTGGGCCTCCATCTACATTGAGAATAACGGACTGGCAGAACCGGTTTTACTAGCACATCGTTCAATTACGGTGGGCTTAGAAGAACTTGGGTGTATTTAGCGCTGACGGAGGGCTCAAATTAGTGCGACGGCAACACAACAGCCTCGTACCACAAGAGTGTCTCATACAACAACATTTACAGGTCAACATTTCTTCCCTGATGCTCAAGGAATCATGTCTACTTCATCCGCCGCACCCTCTGATGATACCCAGCGTCCGCTTAGGGCCTCCCATTCTGCTATCAATGACCACGATGAGATAATGGAAGTTGAAGACGAAGTTGATGATTCATCTGATTCACCAAACCGTTAGTTAATTTTACTGTTAATTGATGAAAAGATGATATGTTGGTCAATTTCTCGGTATTGGTATATGCGTACTATATTATGGATAGTTTTCTTGTTGTTGTTTTTTGTTTGATGTTAGCATATTAGAATGTTGTGAAATGTTAGTTTTTGTTATTTTGATACATTGGAGGATATGTGTTTGTTTATTTTTATTTTACTGGTGCAATGGAATTGTGGAGGAATGTTCACTATTCTGATATAATTCATTGTTTAAGAAACAAGTGATGGAATGTTGCAAATAAAAAAAATGCTAGCTTGGTGTGTTTTCAAGAATGAAATTATGAAGACAATTAGAAACAATCCAAATTCTGAAAGCAGAAAGAACTCATTTTTGCCGTTTCCTTCAAAAATCTTTTCGGAGAATTCACAAAGAAAAATGTTTTTGGAATTATAAGCTAACTGTTTTCGTGTAGATTTTTTTTTTTCTGTTTTTATATCTAATCATTTATAATATTAAAAATACTGATACTATAAGCCAAATTTATGGATTGAATCCTAGTTTATGCAAACTGCAAACTAGATAGGTCGCCGACGCCATACAATCTGTGCTGGATATCTGGTTGCTGATGGAAGTTTAGTGATATTGAGGGAGAATGTTTGGTAGTCACGTAGCTACTCAAACTGTCTTGAAACCAAGCTTTAACTGTCAGAATGCTAAAATTATGCTTAATAAACTGGATCAAGTGGTTAATTATTGGGTTTTAGATGGTATTTTGGGAAATGTTATTGTGTTTTGTTTAAGCAGAAGAATGTTATGTGATGATTCTGTTGAAGAACAATGACTGAGGCAAACTTCCCAAAGAAGTATTCTGTTTTGTTTAAGACAGATGATTTATTTGCTTGCAAGTTCAGTATTTAGCATGCTCGGACTGTCAACACATTCTTGCTAGTGATAATGTTGTGGTTGAAGGCTGAACTCATTACGAAAATTTTTGTAGGGTTTAGAAAAGTTGGAATCATGTAAGTAGGGTCTTTATCATGTTCCCTGTTTTCCTTGTGAGGCTTATTCTGAAGAATTAAGTTCCCATTTGCCAATAGTTAAGCTTTAACAGAACTCTTCATGCACAATGTAGATCGATCACAATCGCATTCATAAACATAACAACAAATATAAACTCAACCTTTTAATATTATTGTGTAATGGGGAGGTTCAACACAAGACTCCATGTGTTAAGCTGATAGGTTACATGCCCAACAATAGCATATAAGCTCTAACAGTTATTATTGAAATGAGGTGGATTGTTTTACCTTTTCCTTGACTTTGCAATTCTGTAATTATGCCGTGACGTGGGTTCACACACATATATATTTTACTCAATAACCACTTGGCTTGATAGTCAACTGTTGAGTTCTGTTTTATATTTTCCTGAGAGTCATTTTTAAGACCTGATGTGATAGTCTGTTGGCTGCAAACTTTTCCAAGAGAGGATGATTGCTTTATTTCATTTCTTGATTTAATTCTTCTTCTCTGTAGATCTTAGTAAAGAAATGGAGTCAGAGGGGCATAGCAGGCACTTGGGATCAGGTTCGTCTCAAGGAAAATCTAAGTTGAGGCTACCATCTGATGTCCTTGCTGTAGAAGAGAGTAAAGGCAATTCCAGAACTTCATGTTCTTCAAATAAGCCATTCAAAAGACAAAAGAAGGTGTCATATGAAATCTGTGAGGAATCTAAGTATCCAAAATCAGGGAAATATTTGGCTTTGGCTAAGGACAATGGTAGTCTAGAATCTGAGATATCTAAGAAAGATATAGGAGCTGTTCAAAAAGTGAGAACCCCTGAAGATTATGAAATGCATAATGATTGTGAGGCTCGTTTTTGTGATAGTGAGATTATGGATGCTGAGACCACCAGTCCCTCTAGTATTACCAGAAAAAATGTGGCTGCAGCCATCCCAATAAGAGACCGCCTTGATGAAGGGCCTTCTGAGGAAGAAATTAAGCAAATGGACATGCATTCAGGAGATGATATACGGAGAATGGCATCAAGGTGTGTTGATACTAGTTTGGTATATTCTTTTTAGTGTCATAAGTTGGGAAATCTTAGCTTACACTGCTTATTGTCTCCTTTGTGGTAGTAAACCTTTCTGATATTCCAAAGATAATACTTGAACCAGTTCCTACTAACAATTAGGTATTCCAGATCGGCCTCTCCTGCAGTAAGGACTAGAAGTTTGTCCCCTGGTGCTGAGATTAAGGATGGAAACAAACGCCCAGTAGTTATCTGTGACTTCTTTACTAAAGGGTGGTGCATCAAAGGGAATTCATGTAGGTTTCTTCATTTGAAAGATGATACGAATAATACAAGCCAACAGCCTGAGAAAGATGCAGCTGCTGCAACTGTGAGAACAGATGCTCAGTTTGATGAAGGTATATAATATTTCTTCTTGTGTGATCTTCAAGAACCTTCTCTAGACAGCATTTCTGATTAGCATCTTTTCTTGTGTCAGGTTTGACAATTATAACTGATAGATCAAGATTGCCTTGTTTTCCCGAGCCACTGGCCTCTTCTGTTAGAAATAATCCTTCATTGTCTTCCGATTTGTCTTTGGAAAGGATCCTGCCGCAAGAACTGGGAGAAAGCAAAGGAATGCCTCAGTTACAGGAAAATCATAGATTTTCATCACTGCAGAGGGAGAATATTTCTCTGGGAAAGAACTCTTCTTCCCAGGGGTTGGCTTCAACCTGGGATGATCTTGGGCTTATCTCGTCATTTAAGGATGGAGGAAGAGAAGGTTTAAGACAAAATTGGTCTGTTGATGATTATAGAAACCATGGATCATTGTTAAGTGGAGGCAATTCTCCTATGTTCAGGAACAGCTTGCTTCCTGAGTATAGATCTTCTCCAAGTATGTATAGGCTTAGTGATTATTCTTCACTGAGTCATCCTTTGAATTCAAGCTTGAGCACTTCTGGTCCAACTGGTGGCAATTTGCCATCTCACCATGTTTCAGCCTGGATAGGATCATCTCTGCCTTTTAATTCTTCCTCTTTGAATGCAAGTCCTCTCAGTGCTCAAAAGCTGTTCGTGTGTGATAGAAAATGCCATACTTCTAAATCGTCTTCGTTGCTTAAAAGCTCTTCCCCCTTCTCTGGTTCTGAACCAGAAAAACCACTGCTCTCTGCTGATCATAAAACAAAAGTATCATCCAATGATTGGGAACCATCTCTACCTTTTCGACCATCTTTTTTTATCGATCATACAATTATATCTTCTCCAGGAAGTCAGTATGACCCGCTTCATGATGGCTTTGACTCACCTAAGATAGGAGACATTTCTCTTAAAGTTTCTGTCTCTAGTGTGAAGGCATCCACTGTAAACACACCACATCATCAAATATATGGTGATTCAATGTTGTCTAGGACCATTGTCCCAGAATGCACTGGCGACAAAAGTTCTGTATCTTCTCAATGCGGATTCCATGAGAATTTGTTGGACCAGAATTGCCATACACCTGGAAAAGATTCCCATACAGGGGGAGAAGAGGCAGTGGGGACATCTGTTGATTTGCAAAATGTGACAATGCGCAAAGAAGCTGACTCTTCAGTTTCCACTTGTGTGAAAGATATTTCAAAGTCAAAAAAACTTGATACAAGTCATGATAGTAGACAACAAAATGATGGGTCTAGATGCAATAAGGACTTGAAAGCAGATAGGGTGAGGCAAAACAGTGAAACGGATCTTGAGCATACTTCAAATGGGGATGTGCAAAAGGAATCAAAAGCAATGAGACAATTCCGTTCTGGTCTTGTCAATTTTGTTAAAGAATTATTGAAACCAACTTGGCGAGAGGGTAAGCTCAACAAGGATGCACATAACAGAATAGTCAAAAAAGCAGTTGACAAGGTTCTCCATGCCTTACAGCCCCACCAAATTCCAACCACATTGGAATCAGTTAAGCATTATCTTTCTTCATCCCAACCAAAAATTGCAAAGCTTATTGAGGTGAGTGTCCTGAGTTCAGGAATTATGTATACTAGGAGGACTTTGCTACTAGATTTTAAATGCAATTTCACAGCATCTGACAGCAACTCTTTTACTTTGCAGGGATACGTTGATAAATATGGCAAATCTTGAGATGCCAGCCCATTTTATCTTTTGTACAGTTTCTTACTCGTTCTAGTAATTGGTGAAGTTATGAATATTTTGTTTGAGGGCAAACTAACTTGTAAAAAATTGAGGTTCAATTGTGAATTTTTGGAATCTTCTTATGAGATGTTTCGCTTTTTACACCATTCATATTTCATTTTATTTGATTGATTGGAGAATTATAGTAAATATCTGCTTTAGTTTCAATAGTTACTCTGCCATCACATATTATATTAGCCTTTTAGCAATATTTAAAATGGGAGTTTTGTGTTTAATAGCCTTTCCTGGTCACTTAAACTTCTTTGTATTAAACTTCTCTGTACTACTTTGATTCCTTGTTGAACTGAAATGATAAAGAGATATTTTTTGTTTCAAAGTTGGTGCACCATGGGTCCTGTGTTGTGCTATTCATTCTTAGGCATAAGTACCAGAATGACCCTGGATGTAAATTTGCATCATTGAGACACCATTTTCGCAAATGGACCTTTCAAGTTGCTAGAACTTCTGAACTGGTTGCCTAGAAGCTAGCAAAGTGCTCAAATCATTTAAGGCCGAATATCAATATGAACTTTGTAGTTTCTTTAAGATAGTTTTAAAACTATGTTATTCTAAATTTATGATTCAGGAATTGAGTTACAACGATGCCGGAAATTGGAATATATATGATTGCTTTTCTTTACTCTCATTTTGGGGTTTTCATGATTTCTAGTTCTGGTTTTGAGATTCCTTGTTTTATAGATGATATGTGCCTGTTGCTTTTACCATCATTGTAATACAGTATGTTGAGATATTTGTTGAGTGAGGTATTTTGCGTACGACATGCCTTTTGTCAACAAATTTGTAGTTAACATCATTTGCTTGGTCTTAGTGATTTTTCTACAAAATTTTATGTATATACTTTTCTTCTACATCCACCTATAAGATGGCTTGATCTAGGATACTAAGATTGTTGCATTGTGATACAGTATATTTGATGAGATGGTTTGCTCATCTGTGGTGAAGACAAATACCTCACCAATGAGGAATGGTAGTACTTTGTTGAAGTTGCTTTAATTTGTAGAGAAATATGAAGAGAATATTACAACCTTTAAGTGAATAGAGCTATGACCATCTTATGGTTGAGTTGATTTTGTGCTAATATTAGGTATTGTTTTAACCTGAATAGTTATGTATAGGTCATCCAATAAATTTCTGTGAAACTCTTAATCCGCATAAGAAAACTACCATAGAAAATCCTTTGAACATGAACATGAACATGTTTGCTTTTGACTAACAGGAATGAGAAGAAATTGAACCATATAACTTTAAAATAAAGGTAATATAAGATTTGTGAACCTTAAGGTATTGCGATACCCTAAAATAGAACTAAACACAATGTTAGAAAACTTGAAGATATAAATTTATAGCTTAGTCATATCCATTCCATGGAATGTTATCTGATCTGAGGTGAACCTCAGAAATTTCTAATTCCTAAATCATATGCTTGAAACAGCTGTTAGACATCCAGGCACATTGTGTTGGTGAACGATTGAGCAAGATTTAGAACTATATAACAATATAGTGACCATTCACTCCTCTCTGTAAATGCCGGTGTCTGGACTTGGGAAAGAAACTTGTGTGTGAGTTTCATTCATGTTATGCTAACTACAATAGGCTGAATTTAAGTCTCACTACAAATACCAACTCTTTGACAAAATGAATCACTAAAAAAATTCAGTTGTGATTTAAAGAATGGAAAGAAGAGTTCACGGTTACTAGAACCTGAATTTTTTTTGCTGCATGGTATGTGCTTTTGTGGTTGGCTGGCGGGCATGACATTCCCTGCATGGTGAGACAACCGACTGAAACAATTTTCGACCAAATGAACTCGTTGCAGCCCGCTCCTTTTTTGCTTGGTTTCTCACTTTTTGATTTTGTTTGTAGCAGGGCTGGTTCTTTGTCTCAGACTGCTTCGCTTGATGTAAAAGTGCCTGTAATCGGAGCTGAGTATTGGGGATTAACATATCATCCTGGGAACTCTTGTTCAAGTTATAAGCAGTTGAGTTGGGAGTAGCTGGAGTGAACTTAAAGTTTTGATCTTGTTTGTGGTTTTGGTTAGCATTAGCAGAAAGGGAATTTGGTTTCTGATCTTGAATACATACAAGATCAGCAAAGGAAGGGGACTCAACGAAACTGTTATCCGCTCCAGCATCGATTGGAATCCTGTTTTGAGGGAGGTTCGCCATTGATGATGTTGCGTAATTGATTTAACAGGTTCGACAACTTATATACTGGTAAGTTAATGTGATAGATGGATTGTGTTTTCTTCATATGTTTTGTTTTTTACCATGTCTCCATCATTAGATGCAGCTTATGTATGGGGGGATTTACCAATGAGGTAGTGAGTAAAATAATAAAGGTGATGACACAAGTGTATTAGGATTAGGAACAGGTGATTGGTAAGATTCCTTTAGAATAATCCTTTGATGCTGGAAGTTTGCAAACAATGGATTTGGGCTATTTCATTTGTATTTTGCTGAAATATGATTCCAAAAATGGTTCTAAGTGCTGATACGTACGAGATTAAGTAGTAAAATCATGTGAGTGGCGGGTTGTTATCGTTCTCTCAGTTACATCATGTCATTTTCTTGGTGGCAAGAGGCAAAATGTTAGGCTTCAGCGCTTCCCATTTCTCGAGGTTCGGCAGTAAAACAGTTTATTTGATTTCTTTAGAGTTCTGCAGACTCTTAATCAATCTCATGCATATTATTTTTGGAGGATTTAGCCGGATGAATTTATCAGAAAAATCTAATTACTAGAAAAGAAGAGAAATGATCTGTCATGGGAATTTCTTGAATTATTACTTGTCATATATTTGAAATATTATCATAAAATCATTTTAACATTAATAAGTTAAATATTTTTTATTGGATAACAAAATGAAAATTAAGAGTAGTGCTAGTGCTACATGCCTAGGGATGCATATGAGTCGAGCCGAGCCGAGTAATGGCTAGCTCAAGCTCGGCTCGAATTAGTTAAGGCTCGAGCTCGAGCTCGACTTGATAAGAAAAAAACTTAGCTTGAGCTCGGCTCGGCTCGACTTGATTTAAATATGAGTCGAGTCGAGCCGAGTCGAGCCAAGTTCGGTTAAACCTGCAAAAACCAATGTAAATTGCTTCTGTCTTCTGTTGTTCACTCAGGCAAAAACTCAAACACTTAGGGTGCAAACTTTCATCCAAAAAACAAGCTCTAAAATCATTCAAAGCAATCCAAAAACCAAGCTGTAATATCAACTTCTACAAAATCCTTGACGAACAGCCCACACCAGGAGCACAAAAGGCGAAACTCTATACAAAAACCCTTAAACACCAACAAACAAAAAAACAAAACCAGCCTAGAAAACAAGCATAACAAGGAAACAAAACCCACCAGCTCCACACAAAACCCACCAGCCCCACCGAAACCGCCAGGCTCCTAAGAGGTTGACATCAACCCCACACAAAACCCACCAACACTGCCAAAACCACCCAGCCACTATCCCTCTCCAACCACTTGCACACAAAACATAGCAACAAGCAAACAAAGAAGAAGTCATCTGGTGGTTGCTCAATGAAAGGTGGCGTCTCAGACTTTGCGGTGTGAAGAAGTGAAGATAACGATGGTGGAGGTGGAGGTGAAATAAGCTTGAAGGGAAAATGTCTCTGTTTTAGGGATTTTGCAGCCGAGTGTCTTTGTTTTAGATTTTAGGGCAAATATGATCTTACGCGAGCAGAAACGATCAATCGAGCTCACGAGCTTCGCCGACTCGAATAACAACGCGAGCAATTTGAAGATTGCGAGTAGTTCGAATCGAGCCCAGAAAAGCTCAACACCTTTCGCGAGCTTGAAGGTGAGCTCGTCTTTTGACGAGTTGAGCCTGAGTTCGTGACGAGTCGAGCCCAAGTAGCTCATGAGCTACTCGGTTTGACTACACCCCTATACATGCCCCTGCCAGTTATTTTTTAAACAGCACTCCTAAATACCCTATTAAAATCTTTTATGATATGAGTAAACCACTTTTTCCCACCCAAGGGGTGCCTTAATGACATTTTTCCACCCAAAAGTTTCAAAATACCACATTCCCACCTAACTTTTATATTCCATTAATACCCAAAATATATTTCACTTTTTCAGCCGGTGTTCGACGAGTTACTAGGAGCCAGAGTAAGAGGGTTTTTGTAGAGTAGAGGCCGATTGAATATTTGCTATCCAAATCAGTTGAATATCATCTAAGAATAAGAAACATAGCTTTACGGTGGCTGACAATCGATGAGAAATCATATGCCGATGTGAGAGGGTTTTGTAGAGAGGAGACCAGATATTCAAATGGTGGTGATGGGAGAATTTTCGCAGCCGAAATCGGTTGGAATCAGCTTTGGGTAGCAACGGAATATTAACTTTGGGTAGAAAAGTGGTTGGGAAAAAGTCGTTTACTCTTACAATATTTATACATCTAAATAAACTCTACCTAATTTCAAAATAATCCTTCTTGTTACATTATTCTTTCTTCTCTTCATCTCTAAGACTTTAAATTAAAATCTTAGATCTTGTGTCTCCCTTTGATGATCATATATTCACCTCTGTAAAATCCAAAGAGTGGTGGAATACAAGAACTGTATATGCAAATACAATTTCTGCTTATGAAGACGTTTAAGGCTTAAAAATAATAATAATAATGAATAAACTAAAGAAATGATAGAAATATTTTGAGTAACAACACAAGCAAGTAGGAGAAAAAGAACATGTACCATAGTTGGAAAAAAAAAATTGATTTATTAGAATATGGTTTGGAGGCTTTGAGAACTGAGATCTTATGAATTTAATTTGAGTATGGATCTCCGTCAAACAAAATTGATTTTTCTTAACCTTAAAAGGAGTTAGCTTAACAGTTAAAAATGTTTGCTCATTTTATTAACTTTCTGGATTCGAACCACTTTAGGGTCACTTACCATATCCGTGACTTACTTTAAAATATTGAGTTTGTAAGGTGTTTAATAGGCCTTAAGGATTAGTTGAAATGCACACCTAAACATCCCAATCATCCAAAAAATAATAATTATTTTTCGTCTTCATTAGGTTTAAGAAGATAATAGTTAGGGCTTGTTCTACGTTAGAGAAATCCTACTTTGAATTTGGGAATTTGAAATTGATTATAGCTAAAACGTTCATCTATTGGAATGCAACTACTGTAATTTCTTTTCAGCGTTGCTCCTAAATTGATTTCTACCTCGCTGGATCTCCTTTATTTGGAAAATAGAATACAGAAGTAAGGTCTAACCCAACTATGCAATGGCTTCTTTGTGATACTAACAGAAGTAGTATCACAAACCTTACCCTTCATATGATTAGGGTCTAAAGAGATAAAAATATGGGGAGTTAAAAACATCACTCTTTCAAAATATAAGAGAAAGAGATAAAAAAGAAAAAAGAAAAAAAAAAAAGTGAGTGAAAGATTGACTTTTATACTTTTGGGCAATTGGAAGTAATTTTGGATCATAATTTAAGATTAAAATTGTGATTTACTTTTTGTTAATTTAATTAATATCTCAACCAAACCAATGTATTTTTGTACCCCTAAAGCGGTAAAGCCCTTTGATTAGGGGTGCTTAACAGGTCGAGCTGGCTCAACTCGGCTTGAGCTAGCTCATTAACGACTCGACTCGGCTCGGTTCGTGAGATAGAACGAGTCGAGTTCTAGCCATGCTCGGCTCGTTAGGCTAGCGAACCGAGCCTGGCTAGAAGAAATGAGGGGTTTTTTGGGGTTTTTTTTGAAGTACAGGGGATTAAAATGAAAATTTAACAGCAAAAGTTTTAAAAAATGACAAAATCCTCCCCCCCCCCCCCCCCCCCCCCGATTTTTTAATCCCTAAAACTGCGACACTTTCTCATTTGCCGTAAATCTTCGCCGTAATCCCTAAATTTCATCGATCCCCAGCACGGTTTGTCGGCAATACCAGCACACCTCCCAATCGCCGTCAACTCTTCGCCGTGAACGTCTTCTTCATCGGATTTGCGTTGCAGAGCTGTCGCCATCAACTCTTCGCCGTGAACCATGTCGGTGATATATGAGGACATGAGAAGAAAAAAATTACAATCTGTAGAACTGAAAAGTTGTTTGAGGATGGCCAAAAATGAAAATGAATCATGAAAATTTTACAAAAACCTTCAGAGTATCAGACCTACGTGCTGCTCAGCTGATTTAAAAAAATAATAATAATTGATTTTTTCTTAAAAAAATTGAATTTTTTAGAGTTGGCTCGCGAGCCGGCTCGAAGTTGGCTTGATAAGCCAGCTCTCGAGACGGCTTGAAATATTCCCAACTCTTTTCTGAGCCGAGCTGAGCCATAAAATATACGGCTCAAGCTCAGCTCGATTAATAATCCTCTCTCAGGAGCCGAGCTTGTTAAGTCGAAAACTCGACTCGGCTCGTTGGCACCCCTATCTTTAATATTCATAATGCGGATAGGCCCAAAACACCACCCGAACCCGACTAGAACCCGGAGACCCGCTGTTCTCTGGGCTCCACTTCGTAGTTCGTACACTCCGATATAAAAACCATTCAGGATATCTGTTCTATTTTTAGTTCGAGTAATCATCGTTCGCAACTGCTTTTAAGGTTTATTGTACTTACTGATTTCCCTCTGATATGGGTTTTTGATTTAGGGTTAGGGTTTTTACTTTATTCCTTTCATCTCTTTTATTTACTTGGCTTAAATTAGGCTATCGGTATGTTATTAGCTGCAATTTTATTATTTTTTGCTAATAATTTGGACGTCAGTAGGTTTTTTGATTTTGTCCGTCATGCATTTGGATCTGTGTATGAATTTAACTTCGAAAGCAGGGATCTTGTAAAATGCTTTTTTATGCAAACATACTGTAAATTTATTTTAATTTTTGTTTGTGAGATTAAAATTGTTTACACTTATATTGTTGTTTGGTTGAGCTTTCCCTGTAAGTCGATCTGTGTAGAGTTGTTTTCGTTGAGTGTGTTTGTGTTGGGCTGCATTTGCAGGTGTGGAATACCGCAGTTTTATCTGTGCTTGATTAGCTATTTGTGTACATCTATTGAATATGCCGATGTTGAAGGATATATTACCCCCTGTGAAACAAAATAATCCCTCTTTTTATGACCATGCTAGTGATCCATGGTTTAAGAATATATATAGTTCATCTGAGGAGGAAAGATCCCATGAGATCCATGTTTAAAAATCGATATGGTTCATCTGTGTGGATTTTTGTTTTTGTGATCTTTGATAAAGGCCTTCTACCTATTTGTCATATTGTATTATTGCTTTATTAGTTTCATGTCTCTATATGAGTTTGGTGATAAAATAATGTGTTACAAAATTATAAGAATACTTGTTCTTGTCTTCTATAGCTTGGTCTTGGAACAAAATGAGTATTCTTATGAGAGATGTCACCATTGTTATAGGACAATTGAGTTCACTTTTGATGCCAATTTCTTTTGGAATATCAGTCCTTTCTTGGAAATTATAGCTTTACATGGTCAAGCCAGCTCCTAGATATATCTTAGAAATCTAGATCGTGAATTCTAAGGCTTTGCCTTGAAGGACTTGACATAGTGAAAAACAATTCTAGCAGCAGGCATAATCTCATCAAAATTATCAAGCTATGTCATAGAAATAGAAGCTCATGTTCATGTTCTTTGGAACTTGCTGTGAATTTTTAAAAATAATTTTAGGAATAAAACTGTTGGGAAATCCCAAAGAAAATTTTGGAAGCAGTCACCACAGTTTTTGCTTGCATAAAATGTGTCAAAATAGGCCTAAATGTATTTGGTATGCTCGTTTTTCTCTGTTAGTTCATTCATTCTAGAGTTCTACAAGACTTTTCTCTTTGTATGTGCCTTCACATGACGAAGAAACCAAAGTTGACAGTTTATCTATTTATTCATTTTTAACTGTTGTCATTTATTTTTCTTATCAAGTTGTCATGGAATCAATCGTTTTCATACTTCAACAAACTTCTTTACCTGATTTGGACTAGTAGTGTCATACAATGTTGCTTATTGTCTTCATTTGTCCACAATCTTTGGAGTGCTTGAATTGGCTTCGTCTATTTAACTTCTGCCCTGAGCTCCTCCTGTTCCAGTAGTTTCACTTTGCATCTTACTTCTCTTGTCTCCCTCACTGCAGGTTTAATAGGTGATAGCTTCTAAATTGTACTAAAATCTTAAAGCTATTGAGACTTTCACACTCACAACATGGCATTGGCCAGAATTGCTAGGAGTGGATTCAGAAGGTCAGGAGGTGCCTTAGGCGGTTACTCACTTCAGAATAATACATTATGTGAGGGAGTACCCGCATTCAAATATTCCTTACCTTCCCTTGAAAATGTCTCACCACATAGCAACCTATCATACTTATTTAACATTAGGAAGGCAAGTTCTTTGGGTAATTGGAGCAGGGGAATCAGGACAACCCCACATTTTCAATCTCAAAATGCAGAGAGAATTGTGGAGGAGTCTGAATCAGAATATGAGGAAACAAGGTATGCAGGGCTAGAAGCGACGAAGCCAGGTGAAAAGCCAAGGGTGGTTTTCATTGGTACAGGATGGGGTGCATGCCAGTTCCTTAAAGGACTGTATACCAAAATTTATGATGTTGTTTGCATATCTCCAAGGGATCACATGGTCATCACACCTTTACTTGCTTCAACTTGTGTTGGAACCCTGGAATTTCGCTCTGTAGCTGAGAATGTTAGTCAGTCTTCCTGCACTGGCATTGTCCCTGACAAACATGAAGTGAGTGACTTCTTCATCCACATTTATGTGTTAGCTTAATTATTATTTACACTTACCCTTTTACTTCCAGTTTGATGGATATAAATGCAGTATCATTAATATAACTAACTGTTAACTGTGATGTCACTAATTGATGTTATTGGCAGATATTATGTTCATGTCTAATGAGGTCAGATCCCCTCTGCTTTAACAAATTATTTCCTCCTATGATACATTCTGATTGCAACCTGGTATCGAATGATACACCATAGAAGTCACAATTTTTGGAAATCCTCATTTTTCCTTAAAACTGAGAGGACTTCTGTTAATGGAAAATTTTATGTGATTGAGTTTAACAGAACCAATGATTGGTAAAACTCTAGAACATGAATAAACTATGAAAGTGTTCAATAATGACTGATCTTGTTAAGGCAGTGCTTTCCTGCAATTCAGTAATTCAATAGAGGAATAGTTTGTTTCATCATATTATCAAAAGCATTGTAAAATTTAACGAGAAAACACTATCAATAACAGATGAATGAGTTCCTTCTACTATACATTTCAGAGAATGATGCAAAAGTCTCTGTATAATTTTGAAACAGGTTGCTGAAAGGCAAGGGGGTTTGTTTGACAAAAAGATTGGGAGGCAATATGGGAGCAAGGCATTTAGTGATCCAATTCAGCAAAGGATTGTTGATGGAACTAATAACGAGATTGTTCGACCCTTATCTCCTCATCTTCCTATTTATAAGCCACAGCTTAATTCGACGTCATCAATTTTCAATAGAATCTCTGGGGCTTACCTAGCCGGTATAATTTTGTTTTATTATCTTCTTTATTTGAAAATGGGTTCGATTTGCTTCACCTATTATGGTTTCTACCAATTCCTCTTTTATTCATCGAAGCTCGACCTAATCTTCCTTGAGCTTAGTGCCTTAGCCCTGTCCTATCATCTGTTTAAAGGAGTTGGTCATTTATGGACGGATTTTTCCGCATTTACCAAGAATAAAAGGGGAAGAAAGCATTTCTAGCATGGCATCAGTTGGCCGCTACAAGGCTTTGCTGGATCTAGGCCAATAAAAGGTAAGGGTTTTAAGTTTTAGATATTGAATACTTAATGGTTGTAGGTGACGAAAATTTGGGTGATTTTGCAGGATGCAAAAGGCATATGACTTTAAAAAAAGGAATAATAATGTTGTTTTGTCTGTACCTTTTATGTTTTCTTGTAATTAGCTGGAACCAATTTGCTATAAACAATGTTAGTTCCAAATGTCACCTCGTGGTGCCCTTTTAGAACCATTCTTTAATTTTTACTGTCCCAGTGGATGATTCTTTATTTCAATATGTTCTACTGGGCAATATGGTTTAAGTATCATAAAAAGAAAATAGCACCATAATTTGGATGTGATTACTATGATGATTTACTGATTTATGGAAATGCCAAAAACCAAAATATTTTGTTGATTAATGAAATTTCAAATTTAAAAAAACATTTTTTTCTGTTTTTGATTGATAAAATCTGAAGCTGCTGTTATTGTATGTGTGTACTTGAAGTTGATTGATTCAATGGGTTGATTCAATGTAATTCCTAAATACCATGCCACCACTTCAACTTCCATTCTCCCTTTACTCATGCATTCACATTGCTACACCTTGTTTCTTTTTTATGCCTACTTACTGATGTATCCAATTTTAAATATTGTTAGATTTTGTATTTTTTTCTCTATTTTTGGGTATAAAACAAGATCTTAACTTTTGATTTATTATTATGCAAATCTTCTTTCTTTGTAAACATAAAAATTATAATTCCATTTCATTTGAAAGTAAACAAGTCATAAAAATCACTCATTATCATACTCATATTAGAAGAAGGTAGAAATTATAATGTGTATATTTTACAGATCTTCATACCACCAAGATTTTAGAGGATATCACCTCGCCTTTTCTTTCAACTCTTATGCAAATCCATCTCCCATAAGATTTTGTAGAATTATCATCTCCCCATTCTCTAATTACATGGATCAAAATGCTAAAACTGATTTGCTTCCTTTAAAAAAATAAAAATAAATAAGAAAGAATTCTTTTATGCAAATTCCAAATTGTTCTACATATATTAGGAGGGCCTTTTACGTTAACAACACTGCAATTTGTATTAGTTGCTTGTAGACAATTCAGGAATATTGTATTATTGGAACTGTTGTATAAGATGTGTTTGGTTGAATTTGAACAAATTAGTGGGTATATTATATAGATTATTAAATTATCTTTTTTTTTAATTTTTTAATTTATTATTATTATATAGATTATTTTTTTAATCTTTTATATTTAAGAATTTAACTAAAACATCTCACAATAAAAATTTAAAAATTAACAAAAAAAAAAAAAAAACACTTCAGTCATCAAAGAAAACAGTCGGTCGTCGGTTACCATCATTTGTCATTGTTGGCAGTTGTTGGAATGGGTTGATCGTCTGTCGATTTGATTGTTTTTTATCAGATCTATGGATGAATAGATGATCTGACCATTGACAACGGTAAAGATAAATGGGATATAGAAAGAAATTAAGTGGAGATTCAATAACAACACTCTGTTGCCTGATTTCTGCGGTGGGTAAGTGGGATGAGTATGGCAGAAGTGTCTGGATGAAATGGTCATCTATCTGTCAATTTTTGAGATATGGACTCTGGTATCCAAACTTTATTCGAATTGACTTCTGCATGACATTTTCCAGACAAAACTTTATTAAAACAAAATATGTATTAAAAAAAAAAAAAACGAGAGATTAATTTTATGTTAAATTTTAGGTCATATTATTGGATCATTATTTATGTCACAAAGAATCATGTTTGTTTATGATTGTATAAGGGATCTGTTCCGGAAAAAGACATCCACTAATGTTAAACAGAAGTATCTGGTAATTAAATATCTAAAGTTGGAACAAAATTTTAGTAACTTGTTCTGCATGATAATTGTTTACACTAATTAAATACCTTATATTCTAAGTCAGGACACACCCATAAGTTTGACTCATTTTTTCTTGTAACTTGCTGGGTGGAACTTACTAGACACTGACTCTAATTCCTTATTAAAATGACAATTATGTCCCTAATCTCTTAACCAAATCCACATTCCTCCCATGCATTATTTATTGGCTATATTATCAGAAATTAGATTAACATTTTCTTGCTAAACATCACATTATTTTCGCAAAATTTAAAAATATTACTTTTATTTTATTACAGTTTTTCATTAGCAGTATTACCATAACATAATGGGTAAACAAATTTTTTCTACCCAAATAATGGTTTAATAATATTTTCTCATTCACAGACTTTTAAAATACCACTTTATTATCCAAATTTTATATTCTGATAGTGAACAAAGAGTAAAATCGATCCAGACTGTTGGGTTATTGATGAGGGGAGACCGATGAATTTTTTGATGGTAGAAGGTTGGATTTTGGTAGTTGGAATTGATCAGAATTTGATTTGGGAGGGATAGTTGTGTAAACCCTAATCGTTCGATTGTTGGCAATTGACTAGGTTGAAGAGAGTAGAGTTTGAGGGGTTTTAGTAAGTAACTATCGGAGTAGAGAACGATAGTAGCGTGAGATCGCAACGATGCCAGAATCGAAAAAAAAAAATTTGAATAGTAAAATAGTATTTTAAAAATTTATGGATAATAAAATGTCATTAAGCCATTATTTGGGTGGAAGAAAATCGCTTACTCTTAAATAATTGGGTTAATCCCTTTTAGGTAAAACAATAAAACTCTCCTTATAGAAACAATAGAAACTCTTTTTGTATTTCAACATTTTTACGTTAAAATAAATAATAAAAAGGTAATTAGATAATTATTCATCAATCCATTATTCTATAAATTCTATCAATACATTGATTATGGGGAAATTTTTATTATTTCTATCTTAAGAAATCTTTTGTTAATCAATTAAATCCTGGGACGAGAAAACCACTAAAATAATTTACGACAAGATTTGAGATCATCTTTTCATTTAAAATACGAAATTGTATTTAAAACACTATAATCAGAGATCAACCGAACGGTGAATTATGAAAGCAGTGGGTTCCACATGTCAAAATCAGAGGTCATGATCCATCTACAGGGACCCCACGTTGCTCTAAAGAATGCGACAAATAATTGTAAATTAAGTGACACTTGTGAAGAGATCCCACAACTACTCTCTCTAGATCAGGAGTGGATATTATTATGCGGGTCCCTCCTTTACTCCGTCTTCATCCTTATCCATCTATTTTCCGATTTCCACTCCATCATTTACTACATCCACTCACTACACAACAATAAACTATACTGGAAGTAGTAAATATATTATTGGAAGAATAAATTTATAATAATGTAATAGATTTAGGTTTCTATGTTTCTATATAAACCAGTAAGGTGACCAGACGATCAGTGTACAAGAATAGAAGACACTTTAAAATACAAAGTGAAGATGCTGCTGGATAAGCTTTGGGACGACGGCGTTGGAGGCCCTCACCCTGAACGTGGCCTTGGCAAGCTCAGGAAGATCACCACTCAACCCTTGAACATCAAAGGTATATATATAAAAACTGAACTTCGTTTTTACGTTCGTCATCAGATAAAATCTGAAGTTATGTTTATGTGATGGTAAGCTGACGGGTATTAGATGGTGAAGGAGAGTCAAGCAGGTACCAGAGATCTCTCTCAATGCCCGCAAGTCCAGCGACACCGACAACTCCAGTGACGCCAACGACACCGGTATCGGCGCGTAAGGACAACGTGTGGAGGAGCGTCTTCCACCCGGGTAGCAACCTTGCCACTAGAGGCATCGGGGCTGAGGTGTTCGACAAGCCCGTCCATCCCAACTCCCCCTCTGTTTATGACTGGTACGTACAGAGCACAAGTTTTCATCTTGCATGCCTGTTATATCCACGCGCTTCTTGTAAATCGTAACTATAATTTGATAAGTTGGAAGAATCGATGCTATGTTTGGTAGCCGAGAAAATTATTAATAGTTCAAGTTAGCAACTTTAACGTTTCGCATGCTTTATCTGTTTGTTCTGTTGTTCAAGTTTAAGGTTTACAACTGAGCAGAAGAGGTTTTTTTTAATATATGTTGCTTGAGCTTATAATTTTTATTTGCTTACATGATTCCATTTAAAAGGGAAAAAGATTAAAAAGAAACAGTTGTGATAAATAAATTAAACATGAGGCTCAATATGTGTGTTTGTTTCTTACACCGTTTTCTCAGCAACCAAACAAAGGCCAGAAGGAGGGAGGAAAACGTGGCAGTCTGCCTGATGAGCGCGTTGAAATAGATCTTTTGAGTAATCACTCAATTCACTCTTTATGTAGTATAATAAAAAGATCAACCACAGTGGCTACTTTATGATCCAATAATTCCAGCAGTTGTATTTGTTTACTTTTTTTGTGTAGCGATGGAGAAATTAACTATGATCAATATTAGATGGCTGTGATTTATTTTGATATTGGTTTGTTTTAAATGAGATACCCACTAATATGAAGTTGGGATGCATGTGATAATTGCAGGCTCTACAGTGGCGAGACAAGGAGCAAGAACCACCATCACTAAGATGAAGTGATGATGATGATGGGTTACCAACTGATGTAAATATGGTCGTTTTGTTTTGAGTGTTGGAGTCGTTTCAATGGTATTGTGTAACGTGTCCTATGTAGACTGAGTAAAACTTTAGTGAGTGTTGCTACGCTACGATGTGGAGTATGGGGACATGTGTGATATTGTTATTAAAATAAAAGGGTGAATTTTGTTTTAACTTTAATTAATCAATCAATCAATCAACCTAATTCTATGGTGCTCATCTTTTGATGATGTGTAACACTGTGCCACGTATCATGGATAAGGGGAGGGAGTGGAACCTTATAATAAAAATAATTAAACAGAATGACATACGGGGGCCACTCTTTCCTTGCTTTTCAAAACCATTTTTGTTTTAAATGCTTGTTGGATCAATGGATAAAAGATAAAAGTAGGGATATATTTGATTTTTGGTGTTCTAGTATAAAACGAACCTATTTGTTTTTGTTTTTTTAAATTAAAAAGTAAAAGAATCAGCCCACTTGTTCTTGCTCAATTAGAATGTGAAAAAATGATTTAAGTCTGAAATTTTATTATTTGATTTGTTATCGAAAACAAATTTAATATTTTAATTTAATTTAATGATATGATAAGAGTTGTGTGATAAAGAGTTATTATTCAACAATTATAAGTTTAATTATATTCAAGATATTTGTGATAATTTATAAATAATTTTTATGTTCGAAGAAAAATATAATTCATTGTTCGGAAGTGTTTTGCTCTTCGGATTGGATTCTATAGTTCTCTTTCAAATCAAACAATAAATAATGTCTTTCTTTGTATATAAAAATTAATATTTTTTAATAAATAAAATCATATCATAAGAAGTATAAACATTTAGATTATAATGATTGGCTTAATTAAATTTTAAGTTGTTCTCTTGTATAAAATTTTGGTACAAAATCTATGAACATAGAGATTAATAAATATTTATATGAACAAGGGAATCGTATAAAATCTATGAACATTCTTTCTTTGAATAGAGATTAATAAATATATGATAATGAATGATGCAGTGGTGGAGCAACCCGTAGCCCATCATTCATTGTTGAGATTATCTTATTGGAATTATTTGTAAGATTTTTTTTGTAGTGTTATTTTTTTTTTTTTAACTTTAAATTTAATTATCTAAAAAGAACTATATGAAGTACATAACATAAGTGAAGGGAATGAAATATTAGCTTTTATAAAATATAAAATGAAGGACATTTATGAAATTTATAGGTTATCATAAAAAAAAAAAAAAAATCAATTTTAAAACTTTGCAATAGGGTATTTTTTTAGTCCATCAATAGGGTGCCAATAACTCTACTCTTGATTATAATCTTGGGAAGTGATTTTTACCCTCCATCTAATTGATCTTCACCCCCAATCCCCATGAATAAGTCCATCTCTTCTATAATTAAAAAAATATATATCTGTTGATACAGAAATCTGCATCAACTAGAGTGATCCGATCGACCTTGATGGGATCAGAACTGATGTGTGCGTGGTTATGGATAACCAGTAGTGAGTAAACAATAATGGTTGTAAAGTAAATGACAAAGAGATTTTTAAAGTGGTTCGGCGAGATGAACTCCTGAGCCTACGTCCACTGTTTGTTATATTTATTGTGAGAGCTTACAATGACAATCCTAGAAATGTTTTCTAACCATTTTCTCATCGTTGGAGGGAGTTTATATACAAAGTTTGTACAAAGAAAAAAGCAAAACTATAGGGATTACAATTAAGTTTGAAATGCAACTCCGATATTCTCGCGATTGGGTGCTGTGATTGCGCAAAGATTGCTGTCAATCTGATCCTTCCCGAGATATCCAGGATCTGAGGTTATCTGCGAATTGGTTGAATAGTTGAAAGGATTGGTCGTGACTAGCTTGTGCTAGGTCAGACAATCGGTAGAGTCAAGCTCGTTTTGGATCGAGTTATTATCCCGCAATTCTCCGAGCTTGATGGAAAAATCACACACACCGTCTGCCCCCCAGTGCTCGATGCTCATTTTGAGCTTTGAAGACTATTGCTTGATTTGATATCAAGCTCGATGTTATCAATAGGGCATTGAATGTAGATTCGATCGAACTTCGAGAGTCGGACTCGTGCTCAGTCGACGTATTCCACACTTGGACCTTCTCTCTTCTGCGACACTCTTGACAAACTCGGAATTTGAAAAGGAATGATAGTTGTGTAAATTCCATGCGGTCGCCTTTGGCAGTTACTTTTCGTCGTGCGTGGGCAACAACAACTGTCCACCCGCGGAGTTGAGGCGACGTGCGACGACGGTTATGATCATGGAAGCCTAAGGGTTCGTCGTCCCTCACAGATGGTTGACACCTGGCCACGTCCAAGGATCGAGATTGCTCAATGAATGGGGGGTCGAGATTCACTGTAGATCGATGGCTACGATCGAGCCTCGCCCTTTTGTCTCCCATGCAAACCACTATAAAAGCGGGCGAACTCGTCACAAAGCTTACTCATCTTGCCAAAATTCTTAGACGTTCTTGTTCATTCCGTCACTGCTTCTTCATCTTCACGGTGCTTTTTCCGGCAAAAACATCTCATTCTCTTATTTTGGTAAGGTTTCTTTTACCTTCCTTCTGTTGTTTTCCTTATTTTCGTGGCTAAAAGTGGCCATTGTCATGGCCACATTGAGTCTTTTAGGGCTTTATTAAGGTTTTTAAGTCTATCTTCGGCAGTCCTGGGTTTAAGGAGGGTTTATCATGGTGGCCTCCAAAATCCTTGGTAGGTCGCGTACGTTTGTTGTTTGGCGCGAGCTATCTTGGGTGCCTAAACTGAAAGCAAAGTGTGGATAGGTCGTAGAGTTTTTCGAGCTCTGATACTGGTTTGCTTCTATTTTAGTTACCCAGAGGCGAGCTATAGTCATGTCTTCGTCTAGCAGCCACACAACCAATCACATGTTTGATCACCTGCGGGCTTGACAGTCCTTGGGGGCATAATCCCCAAGGTTTTTGAGGAGATCGTCGTGCGGAGCTCGGATCTTGACGCGGCAGGCTTGTCCGATCATGCCTCTGTGGAGTTGGCCCAGTCAAAGCGGTCTTCAGCTCATAGGCTGCGAAGGGAACTGCAATCCTTGATTGATATCAAGGATCTGAGACTTATGCGCCTCAGCTCAACTTGAGGGTTCCAGGGAACCTTTCTCAGAGGAATCCCCCCACAGGATAGGTGGCGACCTTTGAGACCCTTTTGAGGTGTGGGATGTCATTTCCCCTCATCATTTCATTGACAAAGTTTTGAGACGGTTCTACATCATTCCTCTCCAACTATTCGTAAACTCGTACGTCATAATCCTAGGTTTGTATATAGCATACATGATTATCGAGTTGGGCGAGCCATCAATTGAGGAGCTCGTCCATTCGTATAGATTAAATAAGGGTTAAGACCAGACGTATTACCTTTCCAAGGCAAGGAAGATACGTTTCAACGTGCTGGCCAATGTCCCAAAGAAGGTCTTGTATTGGGACTATCAGTTTTTCTTTTATGAGGTTGGGGAGACCGGCATCTTTGCTTCGGAAGCTAGTAAGATTTTGACCCTCAATGTGTGTGAAGATCGTTCTCAAGCTCGATGGTTAAGCAAACCGAGTTTCTTTGCTTTGTAGTTAACGTCAAGCAAAATTTTCTCCCCGCTACGAGCTTACAGAGTCTTCAGCGCTTCAACGACCTTTCTGATAGACAGTGCAACGTTAACGAGATTATCTTACTTCCTCACTTGAGGGCGTTCGATTTTTGTGAGGATAACGTCAAATTCTTTACCATTCTTGAGAAAGGTAAGTGCTTGCTTGCGTTTTTTTTTTCTTTTGTGTAGGCAAGTCGCTTATTGCTTGCTTCTCTTTTTTGCAGAAATGTGGGCCGAGAAACTAAAGGGTCTCAAGAAAAAGGCGGCAACTTCCGTGGCTGCCTAAAATCGCTGGCTGCTTTGACGATAAAGTAACCTACTAACGTCGCTGACACGAAGCGAAAGGGGGGGGGGGGGCGAACTTGGGGGAGGCCTAAGTGTGAAGAAGTTCGCGTTGCCTCTAAGGCAGTTGGTGTAATATCCCACTTGAGGTACGTATTTAAGATTTGTCGTATTAGCTAAAAGTTTATTGTTTCAACTTAAATTGAGTTTGTATGTTGAGTTGGTTGAATTGTTGCCTTGAAAATAGGTTGAGTTTTGGTGAAGTTGGAAATCCAATCTTCGCCAGGGCGAAGAAGAAGCTTCGCCGCGGCGAGGAGGAGAAGTGGCACTACGGGTAGGTTCTGCCCTATTTCGCCGAGGCGACGAAAAATGCTTCGCCGCGGCGAAGAGCCTAAAACAAAGATTCTTGAGTTTTCTAGAGAATTCTTCTTTTGGGACACAATGACCATTCTACCCCTAATTAGTAGGAAAAGTGGGGAGTAAAATGAAAGGAAATTTAGTAGAGATTGTGTTTGTATGGGGGTGTAGTTGTAAAGAATCAAAGGATATAGATGGAATTTTCAAGAAAGGACAAGGGCAAAATGGGAAATGAAGCTTATAATATGAACTAAAAAGAGTAAAGTGTAGAGAAAGCCCTTATTCATTTCATTCCACCGCCTCTTCCAATTGCCCATATTCTCTCAATTTCTCCACCCAATTTTCCAAGAGTTCTAAGGGATTTAAGAGGGGTTTTGAGTAGAGATTTCATCTAAAGCTTTCTAAGGTAAGAATTCATGCTTTAGATGTGAGTTTTCTTGTATTTATAGTGAAGTCTTATTGTGTTGTTGCTGCCCTTGTGGTTGTTTTGAGTTGTAGAGAAGAGACAAGTCCACAAAGGGAAGGAAAAGTGCTAAAGAACCCATCTTTGCACAAGGTAAGTAAATCCAACCAAGTTGAGTTATGACTAAGCTTTGAGTAGAGACTTATTTTAATTATGTATGTACATGGTATACCTACTGAAAATTGAGATGAGATGTGTGCTTAGTCTTAGTAGTTGGGATTGATTAAATATGAGAAGTGTTGTTGATATGTGTATTGAGAATGGAGTTTGAGATGAAGTTTGAGAGATGTTGTGTAATCCTTTTTGGGAGTGCTTTTCTTGACAGGGATTATGAGTAATTGAGGGAGTTTTTCCCCAATTTGGATGGCTAGAAAAATGAAGTTTAGTAGTAATTTTCGTAGGGTGTTTATATGCACATGAGATGTTTGAGGAAATGCCTAAGTGAAATCTGCCCTGTCACTGCCGTAACTTTCTGAGTAATTTT